GGCATAGTGTGTTTTTTTTATTACAAAGGGACGAATAAAATGGGGACATAGTCATCCCTTCGAGAAGTAGCTAGTTACAAGTAACACATATAATGATCAGTTGATTGGTAGCTGGTAGGCATGGTGTTTTTTTTAATTACAAAGGGATGAATAAAATGGGGACATAGTCATCCCTTCGTATTCGGGGAGGGTTTCATCTGGAACCTATGAATATGGAGGGATGAATATTCAACGGATCAGTGATTTTACACAAATATTGCAATCCATTTGTTTATTCGTCCCCATGTCTAGTTTTGATAAAAAAGGTAAAGGTTCCCCTTGACAATTTTTTTGTCCAGTCGTGTCCAACTCTAGGGGGCGGCGCTCATCCCGCTCTTCAAGCCATAGAGCCAGCGTTTTGTCCGAAGACAATCTTTCCGTGGTCACATGGCCAGTGTGATTTAGACACGGAACGCTTTCTAATTTTGATACAAGACACTTAAGGGAGATCGCTGAGTGACTGAATTACTTTGTTGCTTCCTGTGGGCAACACTCCCTGGAGGGTTCAATGTACAGAAGCTGGCTTTATTGTCATCTAAAAGCTTTTTCCACAATGGTAAAAGAATAGCATTTTCCACTTGCAATAGGCTAGTGTAGGGGCTCCCAGTGCAGGCTTTATGATACATATAGCTTTGTCGTTCAGTGAGGAGAACAGTTAGTGAACTGCCCATCTGTAGGTGTGGGTGTCTGTTAGTGCTCTTCCCTCTTCATCTACCACATGAAGTTATTGCCCTCATCTGCTTAATAGTAGGGCTGGGTCAAGCTCTTCAGAAACTGAATATCATGACCTTTTTAAGCAAATACCTGCTGCTCAGATATTACCAGCTATGTGGATGCTGCTGAAAATCAGAACTGCATAGTTGATTAACCTTGTTGGAAGCTTTCTCTATAAAACTGTCATATGAGACTAACGACAGCCACTCTTTGTGGCTTCATAGATCTTAACAAAGGCATTTGATTTGGTTAGCAGGGATGACCTTTTTGAAATACTACCCAAGATTGGATGTCCACCGCGACTCCTTAACATCATCAGGTACTTTCATGAGGAAATGAAGGGCACAGGAGTTTTTGATGGCTCAACATCAGCTCCTTTTGACATCTGAAGCAGAGTGAAACAGGGCTGTGTCCTCGCACCAACCCTGTTTGGGCTCTTTTTTGCTCTCATGTTGAAGCACACCTTTGGAACTGCAACAGAAGGTGTCCATCTCCAAACTAGATCAGATAGAAAGCTCTTTAATCTCTCTAGATTGACAGCGAAGACCACAGTCCCACTGAAATGCATGTGGGCCTTCCTCTTCTCTGATGATGCAGCTGTTGTTGCCTATTCTGCTGAAGACCTCCAACAACTCATGAATCGTTTTAATAAGGCCTGCCAAGACTTTGGACTAACAATCAGCCTGAAGAAAACAGAAGTCATGGGCCAGGGTGTGGACTCACCTCCCTCTATTACCATCTCCACACAAGAATTGGAGGTTGTTCATGGCAGTCCCGAAACCAGCAAAATCAGGGGGCTGGACAGGGGACAGATTGCACTTGTCTGTAATGTGGAAGGGATTGTCACTCTTGAATTGGCCTTCTCAGCCACACTAGATGCTGTTCCAAGACCTCTGTTCAGAGCATGTTACCATAGTCTCTTGAAACTGAAGGATGCCTAATCTAAGAGAGCAGTGATTTATCCATACAGGTGAAAATTGTCATTTTCAAATGTGAAGCTGTAACAAGGGAGCTTTAGTGTTACCTGAAACACTTGAATACCATTTTATACAATAGCTTTTAGGTGCAACATTTCCTGTTGCTTTTTGTTCATTGTTTATTCCAAGCTTGGTTTACTTCAAGAGTAAAAGCCACAGGACATTCATATTTTGGCATTTCCTTGTCTCGCTTGATTTCAACATACTGAATTTGGGACACTGTTGCTTATATGAAGAACATAATGAAAAAGCACATTTTCTGTGGCAGTGAGAAAAATCCTAATAAAAATATATTAAGAAAAAAAAGACAATGCCTCAAAGGGACACTGAAAGTGCAGTGAGAGGGGCAGTGTCGCCATGGAATGTGTTCTGTTTTTCCCTATTAAAAAGCAAAGCTGCCATGTGGGGGGAAAGACCCCCATTGATTCTTTGTCTTTGTTATGTTGCTGGCTACTGCTGGGACAGAAAACAAAGCTAGTAATTGCTGCCAGATGTTGCTGTGCTGGATCTTGCAGCATGTTTTGCTGACTTTCCATAGGGCAATCCACTGTAATGTGCAAAATCTGTACCTTAGTCAAAGGTCATCATTTCTGAGTAACTCCTTCACAGTGTAATAAAATAATATTGCATTATCAGAAGAAGTGATGCTCAGGCACAGCATGTCCTCCTATTTGAGCTAGTCTCAGTTTCCTAATGTCAATAGAAGAGTAAATCTTCTTCAAACCCACACAGCATTTAAGACCTCCCCCCAGTCTGTTCTGGCAATGTTTGAAAAGGAATAAAAATAGCCGAGGCAGCTGCCAACATGGCAAATCAATCCAGTGTCATTCTGTCATATACACTGATTTTTTAAAAAAGCAATCTGGATTTAATTCCAACCCTCTTTACTAGAATTGTTTAGCCTCTCAGTTTTGTCTTTCCTCCCACAAATTTTGAGTCTGTTTCACTTTACGGGCCAGCCATATTTTGTTACATTGGTACTGGTATGACTTTGGTGCTTTCCTCACCAAACCTATAAAGTATAAAGGGAAGGTACACTCTCCCAAGCCCATGGAAACACAGGTAGCAGAACCAAAGAACTAAAATAAAAATACCTTAAAGAATAACAAATTTATTGCCTTGTGAGCTTTCGAGGATATTATCTACTTCCTTAGAAACATGGAATGGAGGAAATGGATTGTAATTCATTAACCTCACACGAAGATAAATCTGTTGGTTTTCAGGGTGCCATATGACTTCTGCTTTAATTTTTTAAATTTTGCTCTGTTTTTGTTATGCATGCTAAAATCAACTGCCACAGCTAACTCTTGGAAAATGAGACATTAGGGGGTCACAGGTTTGCATTCACTTTATGTATAAGAAGCTGTGTGTACCCTTCATGGTGTTTTGGTACAGAAAATTCCCGTTTAGTACTTATATAGGGGGGAAAAAGTTAACACACCGTGTGTAAACCATGTTTCCCCCCCTAAGTGAACAGAACAGAAGTTTGAAACATTGCTTTTAAAGATGACCATTCGTAGAATCTCCCAGCCCATACAGCCATGCTGGTTGGGGATTCTGGGAATAGTAGTAACAATAACAACAAATCTTAAATGGTAACTTTTTGAGTTCTGAAGAACAACATACATGCAAAGGGATGGCAGAAGATAAATAGCACAGAAGTTTTAAGGACTCTGAACTTTTGTGCCTGTGCCCTAAACCCTGATTTGCATGGCTGGCCACTTCCATGTTAGAATATGGATTAATAGTTGACCTCTGGCTTGAAGAACCTAGGTTCCTGCCATCATTCGTCACAGACTTCTTAAATCTTAAATTGGTTCATAGTTGACCTCTGGCTTGAAGAACCTAGGTTCCTGCCATCATTCGTCACAGACTTCTTAAATCTTAAATTGTCCCCCCCCCTTTTTTTTTTGCATCATACCTCTCTTCTGATTTTGGAGAAGAGTTGATACCTGCCATCTTCTCGTTAACCATCATCTGACCCTTGGTTTCTAATTTGAAATTAACATATAAACACAGGAAACATTATTTTAAATTAAAAATAAGCAGAAATAATTTTCTTGACACAAAATGTAAGAAAGAAATTTACTTTTCCCCCCCCCTTTTTTTTTTGCATCATACCTCTCTTCTGATTTTGGAGAAGAGTTGATACCTGCCATCTTCTCGTTAACCATCATCTGACCCTTGGTTTCTAATTTGAAATTAACATATAAACACAGGAAACATTATTTTAAATTAAAAATAAGCAGAAATAATTTTCTTGACACAAAATGTAAGAAAGAAATTTACTTTAAGAAATGAAAGGAAGGCAACAAGCCTGAAAATAGAAAAAAAATGTTTAAGCTGACAAAAATATTCTCCTTTTGAAGATCTTGGAGCCTTGTGCCTCTCTTTGGAATTTCTTCATGCCTCTCGCAGAGGGCTTGTTTGAAAACTTTGGGCACAATTTCAGCCTCCTTTTCCTTTCTATAGTGTGGGAATTGTGCTGATCTGTTTCACAGGAGATCAGATTATTATGAGTCTTGTTGGTCCCACAGAATGGGAAACACAGGATGAGAGAGGATGACCCTTTTATTGGACCAACTAGTCTATAACAATAATGGAAGCAAGCTTGTGCACTTACATGCTAGTGATTTTGTAATCTTACCTTGCCAGTGTCCCTATTAGTGAAGAAGAATATATTTTCATGAAATATGATGATGAATGATGGGAAGTTGATACTTCCAGTTCCTTAGAGCAAGCTCTGAAAGGAAAAGCTATTTGAAACTTGGGAAAGATAATTCTTCCTCTGACTTGTTTCTTTTGGCATCAGCACCAACTAATTGCAGAGGGAAATCTCAAATGAATTTCAAGATGGAAAAAAATAGTTCAAGATGCACACTATAATATTTTCGTTGTTATGCTTGTATGTGAGATGCATTAGAACATGAATGCCTTATGGGAGGTTGTTCTGCAGACAGGATCATGGCTTTGTGCTAGAACACATATTTTGCATATGGAAGGTCCCATATCCATATCATGATGTCTGGTAGCCAGGCACATGATAACAGCATGTTTCTAGTGGTGGAGGTGACCAGTAGTGAGTTGGTTGGGCTGTTGTCCTGGATCAGAGGTACCAATGTGGCAAAGCTGTTGCTAGAGTTGTGCCACTTCTGACTATAAATGGGAATCGTATAAAAATTATCTGCAGGTGGAAAGACGAATCTGAGGATGTTTGAATAGGCTTTGGAAAACAGCAATAACTGACTGGTATTCTATTTTATTTAACAGAACCACCCAAAGCTACGGTCTCACCCAAGAATCAGACATTTATTGAAGGATCTGAGGTGTCCATTGGCTGTTCAGCAACTGGGTATCCAAAGCCAACAATAGTGTGGACTCACAATGATATGTTTCTCATGGGCTCCCACAGGTACCTTTAGACCTCTACTTTACTTCTATCAAAAGTAAAAATTCATGAAGTGTTCTTGACTGAAAATATTTCCACTCTCTATGTTTGTGCGGAGATTTAAGAAACCAACTCACCCAGTTTGAAGCAATGCTTAACCTAGCAAGAAACATTGCACACCTAAAATAACACGAAACTGCTTTTCTTTGGATCATGAAACCACTACTTAAGTTTTTGCCCTGGTTACTTCTCCCACCTCATATGCTAATGCTATTCTTCACTGTCACAGGTTGTTTGCCTTCACAAGTGAGGTCCAATTTCCAGAGGTCCAAGGAATTCACAAGCCTCCACTGGGTCTTTGGGGTGCTACACCCACTTCCATGCCCTGCCTATCCCCAATATTGAATTCTTTAAAATAGTAGTAACAATAATAGCATGCTGTCAGATTCTGACTCATGCAACATTTTGCAGAGTCTGAGGTATATAGTACTCAGAAGTGGTTTATCACTCTGTTCTCCTGGGGGCACTCTAGGACTGTGCAGCTTACCCAAGGTTACACAGGTGGCTAAAACTTTATTTAAACTAAAAAAGCTTCCTCATGCCCGCTAGGGTCCTGTTAGGAAAACGCATTATAATTTGGTGTGTTCAGGAACCTGTTGGGGTGGGAAGGAAAACCTAGGAATAACTATCTCTCATGCTTTCTAAAGGGCAAAAGAGCACTTTTTGGAAAAAAAATTGGGAACAGGAGGGGCTGGAGGCCCTGGGGATACTAGAGATCCCTGTCTGGGGCATTCAGGGCTGCAGGGAACCATGAGCTGAATTTTCCTCACCCCCTGCTGTAGAGAAAAAGTCTAAATGGGGATGACCAAAGGGATTGTGCAGAAGGAAGAAGTTGAAATGAGCTCTAGGTTTTGAGGGTGGATTTTTTTTTTTTTTTGGCCAATATGTGTGTCAGTGCCTTACATCCTGAAGGATATCATTAAGATCATTATTGTGACCTCCATGTTTATTGCCTTTGCTTTCCTCTCCTACAGATACAGATTAACTCTGGAAGGGACCCTAGTTATAAAAAATACAGTCCCCAAAGACGCAGGGTTGTACGGCTGTTTGGCTAGCAATGCAGCAGGAACCATCAAGGAGACAGCTGTCCTCACGTATATTGGCAAGTATAATATGAAACGCGGATTTAAGGGAATAAATGAATAAGGGAAGGATTGTGCTTGATTGCTTCCTTTGACGGCTTGTAATCATAATTAATCAGGAAATTAAGGGTTACTACGTATGAGTATATTGATGATCACTGTATGATCATTTGAACAGATGCATTTTTCTTATACTGATTTAGACAGCTGGTCTGGCCTATCTTGGAATTACTGATTTCAACTGGCAATGTCACTCCCAAGCGCAGATTTTTCACAGCTCTTCTATCTGAAATCAATTTTCTAACTCAAGATGTGAGGAATGAAATCTAGGACCTACTACATGCAACACAGATGGTGCTTTGACCTCATTCTAGTGTTGCCCCCTCCCCTGCATGCTGGGAACCTGGAAGTTCTGCTGCAAAGCATGTGCTCCACCACTAAGGTTTGGCCCTTGCCCAATAGAAGTACTTGTTAGAGAAGTTACTCTGAAATTAGTCTACAAGGCAGCGGAGAGAGCTTTTATGGTGTATGGATGAAACATGGGCCTGGTGCTGAGGAAACTAAGTTTCAGATTCCTGCTTTGTCCTTGGTCTAGTCACTCTCTTTCAGTTTAATCTATTTTATATGGATGCTGTGAGGGTAAAATGGGGAAACGAGTTATGTACCCTGTCTCGAGCTCCTCAGAGAAAAGGTGGTGTCTTTACCTATAAAACAAACAAACAAACGAAAGAAACAGTTTGACCAAATTGTTTGGACACAGAGTAATTATGTTTTATGATACTAATTTTTAGTATTAGGTAGACTATATGTCTAGTTTGCCAGAGAAGCTGCCCAATGAGTCATGTTGTTAAATTTTAATGCCGTTTCTTTTGACCCTTTCCAGAGGCCCCGAAGTTGACTGTAGTCCAAAGTGAACTCCTCGTTGCCCTTGGGGACACTACTGTGATGGAATGCAAAAGCACTGGAGTTCCACCTCCAGATGTTAAATGGTTTAAAGGTACCTTCATCAAAAAGTCATCTTGATTAGCTTAGCTTCTCATAAAAGGATAATAATTTATTTTTACAATTCCACGAGCAGTGTATAGTCCTCCAGCTTCAAACTGATATCACAGCCTAATTAAGAGAGGTCATTTTACTTAGAATAAAGTATCTTATGAATAGAAGGCAAGCTCCTTTAATGAGAAACTAATTGGTTGAAACTACTGCTTCTATTGACTCTATTCCGTATATACGGGGCACCACTGTAATTAGAAATGAGCACGAATTGCTGGTTCACCAGTTCAGGCCAATTCAGATGATAACCAAACAGGTGTTCCATGGCTCATGGAATTCAAACATAGTAATTAAAAATGAGCACAAATTGCTGGTTCAGCGGTTCATGCCAATTCACATGATAACCAAACAGGTGTTCCATGGCTCAGAGTCCCAACCCTTTGGTCATTGCCCACTCAAAGGCAGCACCAGGAGGAGGTGGGGCAGGGAGGCTGATGTGCTGCTTCTGAGTAGGTACCTGCCAGAGGGGATGGGGCACCAAACAGTGGAACACCTGTTTGGCCATCATTCAAGCCAGCAGTTTGTCCCCATCTCTAGTAGAAATTGCTGCAGAAAATTATGCATCAGAGCACCATAGAAGTAACCTTGCAGCAAATGTCACTTGACACAGTATACATGTTATGTAGCACTCCTTGTTCTCAATAAATGGCAGCCTTTACATTCTTAAAGGAAGTCTTAAGCAAATTACATCCTTGTGCCATCTCAAAAACAAAAGAAAAAGCCATTCATCTTATTGAAATAGATCTAAATATTTAAAGTTTATACAAGAAAGAATCTTGTGTCAATTTAAAGATTAATCATCAGGTGCACGGCATAAATTAATGGTTCCCTCTTGTTATTGTTTCTCTGGACATAGGTGACTTAGAGTTAAGAGCATCAGATTTTCTTCTTATTGACTTCCAACGTGGAATTCTGAAGATTCAGGAAACACAAGATCTGGATGCTGGTGACTATATGTGTGTCACAAGCAATATTGCAGGAAGTGCATCTGGCAAAATAACTCTGGATGTTGGCTGTAAGCATAATGTGTTCAGAATAAAACATACTCTTGGTGAAACTTTATATGTTTAAAGATTAATAAGTTTTATTTGGCTTAGATCTTTGTGAATTGCAGTGCACATCATCAGGTGCACGGCATAAATTAATGGTTCCCTCTTGTTATTGTTTCTCTGGACATAGGTGACTTAGAGTTAAGAGCATCAGATTTTCTTCTTATTGACTTCCAACGTGGAATTTTGAAGATTCAGGAAACACAAGATCTGGATGCTGGTGACTATATGTGTGTCACAAGCAATATTGCAGGAAGTGCATCTGGCAAAATAACTCTGGATGTTGGCTGTAAGCATAATGTGTTCAGAATAAAACATACTCTTGGTGAAACTTTATATAAAATAAGCATCTGCATTTTCTTGGTTACTGTTTAACCCTTTGTCTGGAACTTGAAATTTGTGGCCTATAGGGTGGCTGGTACTTGGAATCATCAAAAAAAAAAGTTCAGCTTCAGTGATGAGAAAGTTTTATTAGAGTGAGTTACATGTTTTGAACAATTTTGATTCTCTTACCAGTTATGTGTCATGCGAGAACAAGAGGTATTTATGATGAAGTGAAGGCTGAAAGTATTTGTCTGTATGTGAGAAAGCAATAGAGCAGAGAAGAGAAAGAGCAAAACCAGTAAGGAATTCTAAGTACAGTGGTACCTCGATTTACGAACTTAATCCGTATTTGAATGCCGTTCGTAAATCAAAATGTTCGTAAGTCGAAGCACCATTTCCCATTGAAATGCATGGGAATAGGATTAATCTGTTCCAGCATTTAAAAAAATAGCAAAAATAAAAATAAAAATACAACAGAACAAGTCCCATGCTGGGACTGCCACAAAAACAAAAGGTAAAGGTAAAGGTTCCCCTTGACAATTTTTTTTGTCCAGTCGTGTTCGACTCTAGGGGGTGGTGCTCATCCCCGTTTCCAAGCCATAGAGCCAGCGTTTTGTCCGAAGACAATCTTCCATGGTCACATGGCCAGTGCGACTTAGACACGGAACGCTGTTACCTTCCCACCGAGGTGGTCCCTATTTATCTACTTGCATTTGCATGCTTTCGAACCGCTAGGTTGGCGGGAGCTAGGACAAGCGACGGGAGCTCACTCCGTCGTGTGGATTCGAGTCCCACGCTGGGACTGCCAAACAAACAAAAAACAAAAAACAAAAAACAAAAAACAAAAAACAAAAAACAAAACCCACACACAAATCCAAAAACAAGACCACAGAAACTTAACTCCCCCAGTCCAAACCCACCCTCCAAAACCCATCCAGTTTTTTTGAAAGGAAAAAGGAGCACCTTTGAATTTGAATTTCCCGCCCTTTTCCCCTGCCTTTTTTCATTTGTAGGTCGAGGCTCCATGCGCAAGTTGATGCATTTTTTTTTCAAACAGAGCCATTTGTAGGTCGAAATGTTCATAGGTAGGCATGTTTGTAAGCTGAGGTTCTACTGTAATTGTCTTTTTCTCTTTTACCATCACTGGTACATAATCACTTGTGCAAGCACTGTATATTCTCAGATACCATTTCCTAATACTTCTTGGAATCAAATGAAGGAAGAGTGTGTTAATGAACCATGGGCAAAGTTAGATATAATTTGGAGCACTGGAATTATATCGTTCCCACTTTATGGCCCCAATACTTTTCTGTCACTGTGCAAATGGCATAAGATTTGGAGGCAAATTGTGCCAAGTTAAGAAATCACCATAGACACTATCAGTTCCACTCTGAATCATACAGCTCAGTATACAACAGGCAATGTCTACTGTGATTTCTTAACTTTGGGCTTTTTGTCTTCGAGTTACACTTTCTGTGTTATGCCAACATCACCAGGCAAGATGATTTGGACCTATGTATCATTTATGTAGTGCTTTTAAATAAAAAAAAATGTTCCCTTCAGCCAACTTATGATGTAAGCAACTCATGTATCTATTTTACAGATAGTGATAGGGGGCTGAGAACAAGCATCTTGTATACAAATAACTGTCTGTAGAATTTATGTCTGAGCAAGATTTTAAACCCGGATCTTTGCCACCCAGCAATGTTCTACTTACAGCATTCCACTAATTCAAAAACCAAGCACTTGTACATTATAACATAGAGATTAAGCATCAAACAGAGCAAAAGAAAAGCAAAAGTACTACTACTAATTCTCTGCTTGTTGTCTTTCTTTCAGCTTCTCCAATTTTCACACAGGAACCTAGTGATGAGTCTGCTGATATTGGTTCGAATGTGACATTAGCTTGCTTCGTTCAGGGTTATCCAGAACCCAAGGTGAAATGGCGACGACTGGATGGCACCCCACTTTTCTCCAGGCATTTTTCAGTTAGTTCCATCAGTCAACTCAGAACTGGCGCCCTTTCTATTAACAGTAGGTAGACCAAACCTTGGGTATGTAAGGAATGCAAGGGAAAGATATGGCGCATAATGTATACCACATTACTAGATCTTGGGCTGGGTTGTCTGGAAGGAAGACAGGGAAGTACTCTTGAAATCACAGTTCTGTGGGAAATCATAAAACAGAACGGGTTTCTATACATCCATCCAAGAGAAATATATGCCAGTGTGCTAAAAATCCATGAAATGTTTGGGTTAACCTGCAACATCCTCAGAAAATTGATGATTTTCCCAGTTTTATAAATTCTGCCTTAAGAAGAATTAAAAGGGGAGGTTAGAAACACAAGAGGCAACATTTATACTACTGTATAGCAACAAAAAAACCAGAATGATGGTTTACATTTACTTGGTATTTTTTGGTCAAAACTGACAGACAATAGGCAAAATCCTGTTGGTACAGTTCCATCAGTATAAACCGGATTGGGATAGCAGAAATTATGGTGAGGGCATGAGATGGGAGGGCCTGCTCTGTAGCCCTCTCCGCTTAGAACTGTCTACCAAGCAAGGATAAGTCTTACCAAGTAAGGCTAAAGCTATTTAGTTGTGTTTTTTTTAGTTAGCCAGGCTTTTGACAACTGACAGCCCACTAGAGACAAGGGATTTGAGGCTAGATGTGCTAATATTCTTTTCTTTTCTTTTTAATGAAAATTCAGACCAGTCTTTTAACTGAGATATTGTAAAGTTTTAAAGTTTGTATTTGCTATCTTCTTAGCAATACTATTTTTAATTTCTTTTTTAATGAATGGTTTTTATTATTTTTAGAACAAAAACAAACACAAAAATACAAATAATAGTGCTTACTATACACTAAATTCTACCGTGCACCCCATACCCACGGAACCCCATTAAACAATATTTTTATTACAAACTTCCTTTCCATAATTGTATAGATTGTTGTTTAGAGACTTCCCCCTTTCCTTTCACTAATACGAATTCAAGAAATCTACCCCACATAGCATAAAAATATTTGAACTTAGTTCCCCTCTTTTCATTTTGAGTTCAGTAGTCAATTCATCATTTAATGCAATGTCCAATACTTCACCATACCAATCTTCTAATTTAATATCATTTTTATCTTTCCAAAACCTAGCTATTAATATTCTAGCACTTGTCATAAAGTTAGAAACCAATTCCTTTGAATAATAATCAAGATCTATCTTATCAAAAATTGACAACAAAGCAATTTTAGAGTTAAATTCAATATCTTTACCAAATATATCACATATTTCCTTAAAAATCAGTTTTCAAAATTTCTGAACCAATTTACAATCCCACCACATATACATGCCAATTTCTTCATCACATTTCCAACAAGCTTTAGAGTAATCTGAATTTATTATATTCAATTTCACAGGAGTCATATACCACCTTAAAGAGATGTAAGTTTTTTTTAATTCTTACCAACATTAACCTTAAAACTCTCATCCTCCACATTTTTATCCAATCCTCTATTTTAATTTCTGCCTTTAAATCATTTTCCCAAATTAATTTCAAACCTTCTGTTCCTATCTCTTTTTCCTCTTGTTCTGAAATTATATTATATATTCTACTTACTACTCCCTTCATCAAAGCATCTTTCTGCATATCTTCATGTGATGATATAAATTGTTCGTACTTAGTGCATTCTCTACATTTACCATTAGTTTTCAACCATTCATTTGTCCAACTAACTGAATTTAATTATACCATGATAGTTTATTAGTTTGAAGTTTGACCCTAATCTGATCCTTCAATCTCATTTACTCATTCAATCCTTGCAACATTTTTTTTTCCTTAAACAAATCTACTAAACCCTTTAGATTTATAGGAAAATTTTCTATTTCAGTCACTAATTTTAATGGTGAAGCCGAGGGACATAGCTTCTCTATATATCTATTCCATATATTTAGCATATTTCTTAAAAAGGGGCTTTTTGTCTGATTTATTGTATTTCTTTTTACTACATTAAACAAATATTTTTGAACATTTAAATTTATTTCTGAGGATTCCGTATTCCACCAAATTAAATTCTCTTTATTGTATATAATCTCTCCAATAAATCTTAATTGATTTGCTATATAATAATTTTTTACATTAGGAATACCGAAGCCTCCTTTTTTGGGGACCTTATACTAATATATTTTATTTATTCTAGATTTTTTTACCTGGATTACAAAATCCATTAACTAATCCTTGCCAATACTTAAAATCTTCTTCTAATTTTATTGGGAGCATCCTAAATAAAAAGGTAATTTTGGTAATATTTTCATTTTAATCATAGCGATTCTCCCAAACCATGATAGTTTCAATTTAGAATACTCTTGCAATTTATCTTTAATATCACTTTTTAGTTTATTAAAAATTTTCTCCTTTAATTTTTGATTTATTTTAACTATATACCTAAATATTTAATATGATTACACATTTTAAAACTATATTTATGAACATTTATTGTTCCTGTTTATTATGATTAAACATCATTATTTGTGCTTTTTGTCAATTAATAATTAGCAGTTCTTTACCTTCCTTGTAATAATAGATTTTGAACAGAAAATTGTCTTTCTAAATTTTCAAAAAAATAGGATGACCCCATTGATATTTGAAGTTGTTTTTAATCAACACTGCTGTGACAGGCTTCATAGATTTTCTCCAATTCAGAGATTCATTGCATAAAACCTGGAAAATCTGTATCTTATTGCCCCGATAGACCAGCTGAGCTTGTTTTTGTTTAATTTCTCTCATAAACTGTTCTTTCTTTGTATAGTTACAAAACTTCACCACCATTGATCTAATTCTGGGGCTATTTGGGTTACCAAGAAAGTGCTCTTTCTATGTCCTGTTCAACCACATGCTGTGAACCCATTATGGAGTTAACCCCGGCTATAATCTCTTTTTTGAGGTCTTGTCCATGTTGCAGTTGGAAATTCATTATTTTAATATTGGACCTTCTGAGGTTATCCTCGATGTAGATCAACCTTTTATTGATTTCAGTGATTTTTTTTGTCCAAGCTGCATATTTTTTCAAATCTGATTCAGCCCTGTCTCCAAGCTCTTTAACTTTGCTTTTGACATCTTTCAGCTCCTATGAGATCCCTGAAACTTGATCTTGGAGCTTATTAATTCTCATTTCGATGGACTTGGCTCGTCTCTCTGTTTGTTCAAAGCCTTGAGACATTTTACAAGACATGTCTTTTACAATCTTCGTGAACTCGTCCATTGCTTCCTCTTTTTCAGCTGATGAAAGTGCCCTCATTCTTTATCTTTTTCAGCTGATGAAAGTGCCCTCATTTACCTTTTCAAACTGCAATCTGATGGGTTTTTTCTCTTGTCCAAGCAGGGGGTTTGGCAGATTTATCTTTCCTCTTTGACATAGAGAAGTGTAATTAAGAGTAATTATTGTTTTTATGAGCTTTTCATTAGGAACAGGGCACTACGAAAAGTCCAGCAGCTTATCAGACCCGAAAGCGAAAGTAGTTTTCAGTTTTAAAACAACACAGTCCTTAGAGAGTTTAATTAAATATACACATTCCTTATCTTTCCCTTCAAAGGTTTATGCAAAAAGAACCAGTCTTCTAGAGGAAGAAATGCATTTTAAAAGCTTTTTACTGTGCCAGCGATATGGCGGTTCAGCTCTTAGCTGGTCATTCCCCCCCAAGCAGAAGTGACCTCCCCACTATTTTGAACTTCTTAACTACCTTGAATCCCAGTCCTGAAAGAAAGACAACATATAAATAAAATAACTAATGCCATAAAATAAATAAATAATTTGCCAATTTGATTGGTCAGGCACATAGCACTAAGAGACACTTGGGATCAGGACCTCGATACTTGGCAGAACGCTTACTCCCAACTAGTTCTACCTGTGTCACCCGCGCGAGCCAGGAGGTGAGGCTGAGGAGCCTGACGCCGAGGGAGGCCCGGAAGGAAAGAACTAGAAACCGGGCCTTCTCGGCGGTGGCTCCTCGCCTCTGGAATAACCTACCTCCGGAGATTCGCGCTGCACCCTCGCTGGGTACTTTTAAGAACCAACTAAAAACATGGATGTATAGGCAGGCCTTCCCTTCCAGTTAATTCCTGTCCTCTTTCCTTTTTTTTCTCTTTATTTGATTTATTTTTATTTTTCCCATCTTATAAAATCATTTAATTAATTAATTGTTATAAATTTGTTTAGAACTTGTTATCCGTATGTTGTAAGCCGCCTAGAGTGGTCGAAATGACTAGATAGGCGGGGTATAAATACAATCAATCAATCAATCAATCAATCAATCAATCAATCAATCAGGGGTCAACCATCATAATGTCAGAAAATAATCCATTGAACATTTAGTTCAGCCCTAACAAGTAAATAGAATTGTTGATGTTTTTCTTGGAAAACAAATAGCTTTGTGGTAGAAATCATATATTGGCTGAAATCCTGTTGATTAGTGTAGTAATTTGCAGTGACTCATCAAGTTGACTCATCAAATTCCCAGTGATTCAGTGAGACTTACTGTGATAAGCAACAGGATTTCAGTCATTGGTGATGCAAAACATCACCTTGTTCTTATCTCTTAGGTGGAGGAAAGGGGACATGTTTTTTACCACCTTCACTTTATTTTCTCCCAGTGTGAATTAAATTTGTATATAAAAATGTGAATAATTGCTTCCTCCCTACCTCTTTGTCAGGTTGTATTTGGATTGTGCACATACACACATCTGTGCACACACACTATATTAGATGGATGGATGGATTGATTGATTGATCGATGGATCGATCAATCAATCAATCAATCAATCAATCAATCAATCAATCAATCAATCAATCAATCAATCAATCAATCAATCAATCAATCAATCAATCATCTTATAGATAGATTTGGAACGTGGCCCAAATAAATCATCAAGCCTTTCTGTCTCCAGCTTCTATTAATTTCAGTGTATCATGTAAGTTTCATTGATTTGAATAGAAGTGGCTTTGTGGATTTTATCTAGTTTCATAGCAAGTCATGTAATGGCAGGGTTTAAATATAGAATAAGTTTCATTGATTTGAGAATTCTAAAATCATGTTTAAGGAGAATGTATTTTTGTAATTTTGTACTAATCACATAAGGCATTTTAGTTTTCTAGTGCAAAGTTAAGTGCTGATTTTGATTCCTTCCTTTATCTGATTTTAGATGTATGGGTTAATGATGAGGGAACCTATATCTGTGAAGCCGAAAATCAGTTTGGGAAGATTGTCTCGCGGCATGCTACTCTTACAGTGACAGGACTTGGTAATTAACTGATCACATGGCATTTGTAAAGCTTGACTTTTTATACTTCAAACCAAATCTACTGCTGTATTCAGAACAGAAGTATAGTTCTCTGTGTGGACAACCTGTGTATATTAGATCAATGAACTATGCTCTAATAATGCATTAAACAATAAAGTTATGTTCAAAATTTGCATTAAATCCTTATCAGATTTATTTTCAAGTGGATACGACTCAGGAAAAGCAGGACTAAAATATTGTCACATTAATTAATTAGATTTATCTCTTTTCTAGTATTAAAGCACCATTTTAATACATTAAAGTATTAAAACATCCTTAAAGACCGCACCTTTGTCACTTTTTATAGTTAAGCATTCTTTCTGCATTCTTTAGACCATGAATAATTGTTGTAATATGTTTTTCTTTTCTCTCCTCTGTGTTTCATACAGTTGCACCTCTAATTGGAATGAGTCCAGCTACAGCTAATGTAATTGAAGGTCAACAGCTTACATTGTCATGTGTGCTGCTGGCAGGAAATCCTATTCCAGAGCGAAAGTGGATTAAAAATAGTATGATGGTAAGAGAATTTTGTTTACTATTATTGTTTGGTCGTTAAGTCATGTCCGACTCTTCGTGACCCTATGGACCATTTACCGTTACTAAAGTGATAATCATTCTAAAAAAAGATGAAATTGCAGAGCTTGGAAAGTTACTTTCAATAGTTAATTAGCTTTAGTTCCAAGTCCTCTAAAAGTAATCAGCTACTGTAATAGTTACAGTTTTTAAAAAGTTACTTGATGCTTCCCTATTCCTCAAAAGAAAATTGAATAGTTGCTTAAAAAACACACACATATGGCAGCATGTAGATGCCACAAGCTACCGTTCTGTGGAATAAAACACACTCTCCTCTTGTTCACATAATGGACACCCGTAACAGAGCACAAGACAGCAGCATGAGACACAACATAAGCTAGCACTCTGAACCAGATTTTGTTTCTCCTTCACCACCTAATGTTGCTACACTCCCCAAATTATAAAAATTAAGTTGTAGTTGAACACTACAGTTACACTGCAAAAAGAATAAACTTAACCCTTGTTAACTGTAGTATAATATAGTTATACTTTTGTTATTGCAGTTACAAATATCTATTGTTTGTACTGTGTTCATTCTGAACTCCATGAAACTGTACAAACTGCTTTTGAAAAAAATGTAGAATTTCAAGAAGGCAAATGTGATGCTGTCTTACATGCATTATGTAATTACTGAATATCCCTCATTTCAATAATTAAAAGAAAAGATAGTGTTGTCCTTGAATTATAGAAGTGTCTATTAAGTGAAAGAATCTGCTAGATGATCTCAGACATTACTCGTATCTCTCTTCATAAAACCCATTAAATGATAAAATGGGGTAGCTCAAGAAATGCAGCCTTGAATTCTTGGGACAGGATGCACAAATTGTTTTAGCCTACAACTAGATAAATAGCAAATTATGTGGAATAAGTATGTTTGAAGGTGTATTTGAGTAATAATGTAATGATCGTGTGGAATTTGAGTAAGGTGTATTTGAGTAATAATGTAATGATCTCCGTTCAGCATTTGGCGGTGATAGTTCGTTCACATGCGCTTTAAGTCATATGATGGCTTAATGGTTGATTATTTCATTTCAACATATGAATTAGCTCTGTTTTTAAATTATTTTACTTGACTTTGTGCAGAAGTGCTTTCAGTAGTTATGAATTTATGATAAGTTGCTATGCAAATTATTCCTGCCATCACCAAGCAATGTACGTTATGAAGATACCTGAATTCAACCTTGGGTTCTGTTTTATGTGCTTACGGCCTGCTGTTCCCCAATTTGCACTAGGGTTGAACTAGGAATTTCTTCAGTTCCGTTTTGATAGTCTTTTCCGAACGGGTTCTGGTCTGCTTCTGCTCTTGTACAGTTATACAGGAAGAATAATTGATTAATTCCAGATTTGGAGCACACATGCATTTTGCTCCTGTTTGTACAGATGCGTTTCTAGTAAATACACACGAGGCAGGATTAAATAAGGAAAATAATGGAAAGTTGTCCAAACAGCACAATGTGCTGGCTATTTCAAAGTCAGGAAATGCAGTATGTGAAAACAAATGTCTTGATAGCACTACTGTCTGAAGTAGTGGAGGGTCTGCATTTATTAATATCTGGAGATGTAACCCTAGCAACAAGAGGGGCATGTGTGAGAGAAAAAGAGTGAGAGAGAAAGAGAGCTATTTGTTTGTCTCCAGGTGATAGTGTCTCTACCTCCACAGGTAAGCATGCTTTGTCATCAGGATTTCTTTGGTTTATTAAGCTACTTTTGCCTATGTGTAACCTTAAAACACATACACATGCATGCACATACAAGCACACACATACAGTCTTGTATTTATAATACAGTGGTGCCTCGCTTGACAAGGATACTTCATTCTGTTGAAATCGCTGTCAAGCGAAATCCTTGTCAAGCAAAAGGAAAAAGCCTATTGAAATGCATTGAAAACCGGTTCAATGCGTTCCAATGGGCTAAATACCTCAGCATCCAGTGAAGATCCTTCATAGGGGTGGCCATTTTCAGTGCCTGTAAAGCGAGGAATCCATCCTAAAGCACAGCGGGGAGCCATTTTGCATAGCAGGCAGTCATTTTAGAGCCGCCGGTCAGCTGTTTTAGAATCATCGTCTAGCGAAAAATTTGTTCCCGAAGCAGGGAACCAATCATCATCAAGCGAAATTTCTCTATCTTAACATCGTTTTGTGATCGCTATTGTGATTGCAAAAAACTCATCGTAAAGCAGATTTGTCATTTAATGAGGTAATCGTTAAGCGAGGCACCACTGTACTATATAGGCCAGAATCCTATTGATGTTTGCATAATGTACTACAGCTAATTGCAGTCTTGGTTACATGCCTGGGCCCAAGCCCAGCTGTGAAACTGAAGTGTGCCCCAGCACTGTCAGTTGTCTATAGCTAATTGCAGCTAAGTCTTGGTTACATGCCTGGGCACAAGCCCAGCTGTGGAACTGAAGTGTGCCCCAGCACTGTCAGTTGGCTATGATTAGCCATGATGGTAACACATTCCTCATGTAATCACCAATAGGATTATGGCCATATATAGGTATCATTCCTCCATGTTTCTCAAAGGAAGCATTCATATTGAAGAAAGCAGTATGTAACCTCCTCTAGCTGGATGGCAAATTCTCCACTTGAAGCAAAAGCCACAGGGAATTTGATTTAGACACCAGGAAAAGATCTAGAAGAAAGAAAGTATGTATGAGAGAACTTGGATCTTTTATTTTCTTCCCACTTCAAGGTTTATTGCCATGTTCTAGATAGTTTCTGTTGTCTCTGTCTAGCAGAAACAGAGTAGATCATATGCAGCCTGTTACAGACCACACTCAGGGCTGCAGTTTAGGGATCACAAGGGACTGTGTCGGCAAATAAATACATGTAATTATTTAGCTGAAGAGTTAATGACTCTGACCATTAAGCAGTCAGATATCCTGGGAAATGTGCAAGGCTGGGTCAACCATTCAGAAGCCAGATGATTATTAAAGCAGTAGATCTTACTAAATTCCTTGGACCGCTGTATCACTGACAAAAACAAAATCATGCAAAATGTCTGTTCTTGCCACTTAATTTGGCCAATCTTGATGCAAAAATGTAGCACAGGTGTGGCCATGAACACACAAGCTATATGTGGAACAGAAATAAGCTTTCTTTGATTTCCTTACTTCCACCCCATGCTATTCCAGGTAGTTGAGACTCCCTACATCAATATTCGTAGTGATGGGAGCCTTCATCTTGAAAGAGTTCGGCTGCAGGATGCTGGGGACTACACCTGCATGGCAAAAAATGTTGCTGGAACTTACAATCAAACAACTGCCCTCAATGTATTCGGTGAGAGAAATCTGTAATGTTTGCAAGATTTTCAGTGCAGGATGCACTTGAACCCAGGATGGGGATGATATGCATGAAAATGGATGACTGAACATGTAGCCAGCAATTCTCTAGTTCCCATTCGTTTTAGTGGGGCTTGTACATTCTCATTGAAAGGAATTGGGTTCCTGGTGAAGTAGTGGACAACCAGCAGCCTTTGGCCTTCTTTGATGGCCCTGTTAGCCTATTTCAATTCTGAAAGCAATCAATTCATATCACTTTCAAGGCTCTCTCAGTCTTCTTTCTGACAGCTTGCATAGTGTCAAGGAAAGAGGATGAAAGTAGAAAAAAAATGGATAAATGCAACCAAATTTTGGCTCTGTATTCACCTACCAGTGTGCACCCTCTAGTGTACGTATTATTACTAAGAGCATGTGGCCCTTTCCAGAAAACAGATCCCTCACTCCTGTCCTGGTGACTTTCCCTTCATGTTGTTTCACACAATACATGTTATGTATCCTTAGGATCATGTGAACTGGACAACTTGGTGTCACATGAAATAGATTCCAGGCTAGGTCTTGATGCCTCACATAGACTTCAGGTAGAAAAGAAAACTGGTGTTGTCTGAGAAGCAGTTTGAAATTGTGGTTGGGGGAAGAGCCCCCTTTTCCAAGATATTGAAATTACGCCCTCAGCTGTATTCCTTATCCCAGTGTGCCTGCTCTACTTCACTATTGGATGTGGAACAATATTAAATAATCTCTAATTACCACTGTTTGAAGAGTGATGGAGAAGCAACCACTTTTCTGCAATTGTTTAGTTTAGTTTAGATGCTGCATTTCTCCTCATAGGTGGCTCACAATCAGTTAAAATAGCACAATATTCCACATTAAAAATGCCATAAAAATTAAAAAGCACACATAAAATTGAAAAATACAATTAAAATTGTTTAAGGACAAGAAGCAGGAGGCAAACTTAGCTTATTATGAGAAGGCATTCAAAATCTGGGGACAGCCGCTGAAAGGTCCTCTCTTGCATCTTCACCAAATGATCTGGTGGGGGCCAAGAGAAGGACCTCTCCATAATGTCTTTGTAATGTTAATGTTTTTAAAAATGTTAAAGCATTTTGCTGGTTTTTATTATTTCACATTGGGGCAGATTTATATTATTTTATTTAGTTTCTAGCTAAATTAAAGAAATGAAAACATAAAACCACAATTTAATACTACTGAATTGTGGTTTTGTGTTTTTATTTCTTTAAGAACGTTGTAAATCATCTTCAGAGTTATCTTTTAGTGGAAAGGTGGGGCATAGAATGAATAAATGAATGTATCAATCAATCAATCCATCCATCTTTGCCAAATAATTATCCAAAACAGCAGGATTCAAATAGGACTTCTTCTTCTTCTTCTTCTTCTTCTTCTTCTTCTTCTTCTTCTTCTTCTTCTTCTTCTTCTTCTTCTTCTAAAAAGGCTTACTACTGCTTCATGCAGGTTGTGAAGTCACCACCCTCATGTGACCCAAGTGCAAACCTTAATTTTCAGCCATGTAGATGAAAATATCAGTTATTCATTTCTGGGGGGAATTTATAGCACCAGCAGTGTTGAAAGCAGAGCCTGCCTCTGCTCCCCAAACTCGGTGGCCTGGGCACTGCTGAGAAATTTCCCACAAGGGGCTGCAGTATATTTTTGTGTGTGAAGCAATCAGAAATGTTGGATAACCAGCAAGAGAAACAATAGTGTTTCATTCACTCCTTTTGCACCCTTCTATCAGAATGATTGACAGTTTTCACAGTTAATAACTGGGAGTGAATTTTATGATATTGTATATAAGTATATCTTATGTCCTATTTGTTTTTTTTTAATCAGTATGGCTGCGAAATCTTGCTGGACTGTTCTGAAAATTAACAGCCAGATACCAGTGGCTCATAGAAGGAATGGGACTCAGCATTCATATAGATGTGCAGAGGCTCTTGTGTTGGTTTTGTTATGCTCTGTGAGCTTGCTTACACAGAAGAGAATTTTAAACTTCCTAACTTGTAGCTCCATGACCTGCACGGCTTGCACACAAAGAATAGCCACTTTACATTTGGATTCTAGCCTGTGCTTATGAAGATGTGTAAGGCATTCTGATTATAGGATGGCCTAGGCAGCAAGGCATGTGAATAAATATAACATGATTTTTTTAAAGGATGCAGAGAAAAATATTACGCAGCATCCTAAAATATTTTTCCCTGTATTTTTAAGCAATGACAGTTTGTAAGCAGAGTTTTGACTGCAGAACTCCAGTTTAACCACTTCACTACAAGGCGGTGTCATTTTTGTACTCAAGCTATGTTGCATAACTACATATGTAAGGTAAAAAGTAATGCAAGGTGAAACAATGCATAAAGTGTGGGTGTATTTATGCTTCTAGTTCTACCCATAATTCAACATGGACAGCAGATATTCAGTACTATAGAAGGCATCCCGGTTACACTGCCCTGCAAAGCCAGTGGAGTTCCTAAACCATCAATAGTCTGGTCCAAGGTAACTTGCTTCTCCTGTTTATAATGAAAAACCAAGAGGAATTAATTTGCCAGTATAAATTTACATTTAGATAGTATGGGAATTGTAAAAAACAGGAGGACACTTTTATTATGCTTGATGCGTATATAGGGAAATACTGTAGGTGTATGAAAGTGTGAAAAATATTCTGGTCCATGCCACAGCATTTAAATCGGTTTTGTTCTTTTTATTGAACAGTAGACCTCAGATGTTAGAGAAATGAAATATTTGATAATGTATGTAATCTCTACAGTTAAGTTACTAGATGGAAAATAATAGAAGAAAACAGATATCCTGGACTTAGAAAAGCTGATAGGAAAGACATGGGAAGTCACGGAGAAGTAATAATTCCATGATTAGACCTGAAAGGTAGCTTGGAAAGCATAAATTAAAGAAGAATGTGAAAGTCCAATTAGGGAATAGATAGATTAGTAGCTATAGTAATACTGGGAAAATCTACTGGTTTATTTTTTATCTTTCTTTGCAGTATAAGTGTACAAGTTGATGTAAATGTACTATCTCACTCTCTGGAATTTTACCCTTTCTCTATCCCCTCAACCCTACATTCCTTTCCTCATAGCCCTATCCCCATTGAAAAGAATAGAAAACTGAATATAAAAAACATGGGCCAGTATAAATTTAAAGAAATATACATATTTCCAAAATGTCAAGATCTTTTATTGATGAAAAGTCTTTTGTGGTCTTCTAACATTTCTTTTTTTAAATTTAAGCTGCATAAAAATCAGCAGGGCTTGCCTTTGTTCTTGGCCTTATTAATTCAATTTAGCTTTGGCCAATGTGTCAGGTTTTGTTGATTAATCTACTATGTAAAAACTACAATCCTAATGGTTTTTGAGAGGGGTTAAATATTTATGTACATAGGTCTAATAATTTAAGATATTTCTGTCCTGGCTCCTAGTCTTCATTACCAGGGTGAGTTATGAAGTTATTTAAAAATCCATGCAAAAAATAAAACCAGCACTACTGAAACAGCAGGAAAATCAATGAAATACAAAAGAGACAGATGTATAAAATTGTGCAGCAGCATACACCAAAAGCTTAAAATATTAGTATATAAAAGAGCATTAATAAATAAATGTATCTCCAATAATTGTGTGCTGTCAAATCAATTCTGACTTAAAGTGACACTTTTCAGGATTATCTAAGTAGTGAATAAACCACTTCTATTATGTCTAATGTTATCAAGCGTGCAAATTAGATTGAGAAGGAGAGGATCTATATTCAGTTGTAATTTTTTTCTCAGCATGTAGAGGCAGCTAAGGATGGGTAGTTCCATTCCACCACCTGTAAACCCCCCCCCCCCATTTCCCTGTGTTAGTGGAAAATGTGTGCAAGGAAACTTCATTCCAAGTGCCATTACAGAGGTCCATAAATTGTGAAATCTGTTCAGGCAGAGTTACAGATTGCCTGGATCTTTGTGGCTCTGTAAATGTGGAACCAATCACGGTGCCTTTGGGGACCTTTTCTGTTGAACAGAAGAGGTAAGAGTGGAAAGGGCAGGACTGCATCCCTAGTTCCATCTATATGCTTTGTGGGGGGGGGGACACCCCGCTGTTGAATAGGGCTAGGCCACAAAAGCCCTGTTTTGTGTTGAGGAGGCACCCTGAATTGGGTATCCAGGGAGGGTCTTCATAGATAGATGAATTCATATAACAGTAGATGATTCCTTAGGTATTCATGTCACAAGCTGGTTATGATACATTTAAATATCAGTGGATGTTAGCTTGAAAGGTAATCTTGGTGTTGAGTGAAAACTGTAGAGTCTAAGAAAGAATGGAATTTGGTAATTATGCCCTGTCTGTTGGGTCATAGATATATTTGTATCCTTCCTTTACATGAATCCTATTCAAGCTGGGCAACAATAGTAATATATATGAAAATCTACTGTATAATGCAATTGCTGGACAGCAGCAAAGCTGAATTAAAAATAAAAGTCAACAAACCAATAGGCAGGTCCGAACGATTCTGATGCTGTTTTGTCTGAAAAAGAAATATCATCTCATTAGTATTTTCCTGTCATTCCCAGAAAGGAGCGGTGATTCCTCCCACCAATCTAAAATTTTCTGCAGGGTCTGATGGGAGTCTGTATATAGTTTCTCCAGGAGGTGAAGAGTCTGGAGAATACATCTGCACTGCAACAAATGCAGCAGGCTATGCAACACGGAAGGTGCAATTGACTGTCTATGGTAAGTAAACATTACAGCACAGACTGTGTGCTTCTATAATGATGCTCCCAGACAGTGCTACTAGGAGCAATGATAGTTTTAGAACAAATTGTAGGAAGTATTTTGTCATAAGAGGGACTGTATTTGCTGTTCTCAGGATTTAGATAGATTGTTGCTGTTGATTCTGCCAGTGGATGTGGACTAGATGCAATAGACATAAAGATTAATCTCAAAATTTGAACATCAGTAATTAGTGGTCCAGTTCAGAGTGCTGAGCTCCCATAATTCAACGTGTGGGAGAATCTTTACCCGTCATACTTCCGGTATAAGATAAGACTCCTTAGAAGACAATAGTATGAGATAACAGCACAGTTCCACATAAACATATTGTGTTCCAAGGGAGGTTGTCTTGTTCATCTCTTGGAGCAAAAATGACAAAGAATTTTTTAGTAGCTCAAAAGCTGTCATGTCTTATTTAGCACAACATTTTCTGGACTGTGCTCCTCTTCTCCAAAAGCAATTGAAGAAGCAGCTAACAGTCAATGAAAGCTTATGCCATGTAAAGCTTGTTAGTCTTTAAGGTGAAACAAGACTCTTTATTGTGTTTATAAATATATTAAGAACTTAATAATTGTCAGCTAAATATCCAGTTTTGCTTTACTTGCCCACAATGAAAACTAGAGGATCCAGAGGAGCAGCAATTTTGTAGAGCTTACGAAGCTGCTTCAACAACTTTAAAAAGTACTTTTAATAGCTACAATTTCAAGTCCCCCCAAACTCAATCCATTACTTTTACATTTATACTTTTTAAAGAGTAGGTCTCTACCTCCCAGTTTTTCAAGAAGAGCCCAAATAGCTACTTTTTAGTTGTTGTTTTAAAAAATCTGAAGGCTACAATCTGTTGGTCAGTGGGGAAAAACACACTGTCTCCCCATCCTCCTTATTTTCTCTTCCACAACCAAGTACCAGGCAGCAGAACTTGGTACAACACGAGCCAACACATGCAATATTTGTCCTCTTGCATTTAGTGAGGCTACACCCTCATACTTTTAAAAGTAACAGAAAAGTTACAGCTTCAAACTGGAGAACTCTTGTCCATGGGCAGAGTGTAATAATGCTCTACAAGCACAATGACAGTCGGGTCTCCCACATACCTGCAGAAGCCCAAACACCTGTTACAACACCCCGGATATCTCTGTGCAAGTGCTGTAAAAGTTACTCTCCCTTATTACAATTGTTGTGTGATGTAGCTATGTCACTTTTATTGGAAGAAAGAATTAATTACAAATAACTATTTATTTGTGAGTAGTCATTTCTAAATGTGGAAACTATTGCTGAACTAAAATACAAACTTGGGATTCCATTTATTTGAGATGGAGCCTGGAAGAGTCATTCCCTCTTATACTTTGTCCTTGCCCTCCCTTCCCTTTTTCAATATTTAATGTTTCTCTGTTTTGACTGTAGAACTCAGCTGGACAGGAGTGCAGACACGAGATCTCTCTATCTGATTTGGGGTTGTTTGTTCTTCATACTGCCACCATGCATCCACAGCTATATTTGTTCAGCACCCCTGAAGTTGTGGGGTAGTGGTTAATGGAGGTCTGAGGGTTTTTTTTTAAAAGGGAAGAAAAGTATTGGGTGTTGATGAATCGCCATCTGTTTGTGCAACCATTCAATATAACCTGTTAATTTCAAAGTGGAACATTTAGGGATAGTTGTGGACACTTTGGATATGCTTAGATGATGAGAGATATTGTGCTGTTTTAGTAAAACCAAGAGTGACCAGACCTGAAGATCAGCAAGGAAGTTCTCTGGACAACCCTTTAGAGCTTTCAGTGGTAGCAGGGGAAGATGTCACACTTCCTTGTGAAGTGAAAAGTTTGCCACCTGCTATAATAACCTGGGCTAAAGAAATGCAGCTTATCTCTCCCTTCTCTCCAAGGTAAGAGTTCTTCTGTTTGTTTGTTTTTATGGGTTTATTAGCTTTTATTTTGAAATTATCCTCTTGAGGTGAGTTATGGCTGCTAAAAAAATCTTCTTTCTATAAAGAGATGCACACTCCTTGTGCAAATCAGTGTTTCATTCCTCTTTATTTGAGCCCCCGCCTGTCTTAGGGGTCATAATAACTTACTGGTCGGGATTACAGAGGGGCACAAAATGAACCAGAAGAAAAAAAAACCAAACCAAAACACAACAAACAACTGACAAATTGGGCCGTTTTGTAGTTTGTTTCAGGGCACTTCAGGGAAGTATGCCTGCCCAGAATGAAACAAAACATTATAAACTTATAGTGCAACGCTGCCTTCCCTAAGATATGCTTTTGCCAGCCTACTTGCTCATTTTCTTGCCTGCTCTTAAATCCCAAGAAAACTAAAAATGTATAAAAATGTGCAAAATACCTTTTTGGAGTGATAATCTAATATGTTTTCCTGTGCTATGAACAGATGGTTATTGGCTGCTTTTTACTTTGTGTGCATAGTAACCGTAGCTTTATCCCAATTCTCTTTGGTTCAGATTTTTAACTTCATTTTAATTTGTTGAACTCCTTAAAATTACACTGGAGAATTCACACCAGGATTAACAAATTCTTCCAAATCCCAGTATGCTTTTTGTGGTTTTCTGTACTGAGTAAATGACAGCAACGTGTATTGTATTGCAAAATACATTTAACATAAACAAGACCATCTCATAATGTTGTTTCCATTCTTTTTGGCTGTACTTAATGCTTAAGTGTCAGTAATGCTATGTACCCTATTTTAGCATGTGGTTATGGTGGGCGGGGGTTGGATGGGCAGGACAAACTTCAGACTTTTTGAAAATCTTTTTCCTCAGGCTTGGGCTAGCTTTCCAGAATGTCATTTGACATAAAAATAGCAACAAGACAGTCCAAACATCTTTGTTCTTTACTTGAAACATTTGTGCTAAATTACCTCTGGTAACTTGAGTTGCAGAAACAACATTTTAACAACTCTGCTGGGTTCCAAACTTATGTTCAGCCACTTGAGTTACTTTAAAAAAGTATTGTTATAAAGAATTATGTAACCCATTGCAAGCTTCTTTAATGTAATTTGTTATTATTAGTGTTGTTAAAAAATGGCAACTTGTAATATTGCTCAGTTTGTTCAGTTTAATAAAATGTATCTAAAAGTGAGGAAATGTCCTGAAGTTTGGAAAAATTCAGTCGGAATTCTTCTATCTTGCTTTGCCAAAAATTAACTCCATTGTTTATAACTTTTTACTTCCATTGCTGCTTTCCCAATTTAAAGAAACTTGCGCTGCTGGGTTTGCTGCTCTTTGATTCCAAACTCTGAAACCAAAAGACATGTTCAGAGCAGAGAAATAGAATGTTCTCCCATTTGAAATGAATGCATTTGTTTGTAAAATTGTACATAAAACACTAGATACCAAGTCAGGTAGACTGACAATGTTGCAATTTCTCAGTGTTCTGGGATTTACAGCCTGACACAGTAAAGCATACTCAGCCCCATGGTGCAGTGATTAAACTGCAGTCAAGACTGTGCTCATGACCTGAATTTGATCCCAATAGGCTCAGATAGCCGGCTGAAGGTTGACTCAGCCTTTTATCCTTCCAAGGTTGGTTAATTGAATACCCAGCTTGCTGGGGGTAGCAGGGTGGCTGCAATGTGTAGCCTACATAACTAAATTGTAGCCACACAAAGTAGTGGCTTGTCTACCAAATGGGCAGAGTATAAGTTTAAATAAATAAATAATAAAATAAAAATAACAAACTGCCCAGAAAGTGCTTTCAGTGTTACGGGGCGGTATATAAGCAGCAGACTTTGTTTTGCTTTGCCCACCCCTCAGTATTACTGATTGGGGGGAGGAGGAGGAGGAGAAATAATCAACTCCCTACATTTTTTCAGTCATTCTTCAAAGAGACCCACAAGCAGGGTTCTGCCTCAGGCTTACAAAGGCTAACTGCAATGTTACTTTCTCTTGATACAGAGGAAACAAAGCACAACAAAACAAGACAATCTCAAGATTAGTGTGTCAGAGAGACGACTAGGGTGCCAGCATAACAGTATGATTTTAAAAATACCAGGGGCATTGGCAAGTCTTTGGGTCCAAGTCTTTAGTACCAAGCCTGAGTACCAAGCCCCAAGTCTGAGTCTCTATTAAGAACAAGCTGTTTTCCCCAGAAAAAAAGGGAGGGGTGGATGGATTCCGAGTCTTAAGTTGAGTCAAAGTCATTCAAAAAAGAAATCTGAGGTGAGGCTGAGTCAATTCACTGAGAGAACTTAAGTCCGACTTGACCACGAGTCTCACCCCCTGTGAAATACAGGGTAATGGTGCGATCTAAAAGACCGCCTGAATTAGCATATCCCAGTAATAAGACATCTGATATGAAACTGCTGGATTGTTTTTATGCCCTATGACTCTCTTTCAGCTTTTTCTCCATTTCCAAGTCTCAGTCTTGCCTTGGCTTTGTCTATCTACTATTTAGCTTGGCTTCAGTCTATTGCTTCTTTCTGTGGCTTTAATCATCGTGTTCCTCAACTGACTCAGATATGTCTCAGACGTTGTGTCAGAATATGGCAGTTAGAAACTGAGTCTGTCAGGCAGAGAGGTCTAGCCTCTTTTAGCCAGGCTTTCTAGTCCTGTCTCTTTCAGAGCACAGCAAATGATGCAAAAACAAAACAATACCCCACCATTTATTTTTGTTTTATCTTGGTGACAATAATGGTACTCCTTCTGACTCAGAATACTCCCCCCCCCACTTTTTCCAAACATCATGTTGAATACATATCAGCTGTTCGCATCTTACCAGAGTGTTTTCTGGCATTTCTGACTCGAATTTTGAATCTCTTTGGCTGTTGGTTCGTATATGTCTTTCCCTTGGTTAACATCTGTATTTACTAGTCGGCCAGTCATGACTCCTTACCATGTTTACATGTACTGACCAGTCCTCATTGCCTGGCACCATCCATACCCATTAGTTGCGGGGTGGTGGTGTTAGTTTTGTTTTTTGCATCCCATTCCAAGTCTTTAAAAAGCAGTGATTCTTGTGGAATGATTTGCAAGACTTCAGGCTCCTGTGTGTTCATTATCTCCTTTTCACAGCTTGCTTTATATTAGTGGAAGAAGCAAAGTGAAAAATATGAATTCTCTAATCAGGATACTCTTATAACTGTGGTATGGCATTGAGTTAGCAGGACACCAATTCAGTGATGAAGCTGGCCTTTCAACTGCCCTTTACAGTGGACCCTCTACTTATGGAATTCATCCGTATTGGAACAGTGGCTGCAGGTCGAAAAGTCTGTAGGTCGAGTCTCCATTAACCTACAATGCATTGAAAACCGATTAATCCTATAACCGGCCGTTTTTGTTCCATTTTTGTCCCATTTTGGGTTTTTTTCTGGTCTGTAGGTCGATTCTCCGGCTGCAAGTCGAACCTAAATTTTGCAGCCAGAGAAGTCTGTAACTCGAAAAGTCTGTAAGTCGAGCCGTCTGTAAGTCGAGGGTCCACTGTATTCAAACAAGTCCTGAGTGTTTTGCCGCCTGAAGCTAAAGTCAAGACTGTGTTCTTTCCCTATTCCATGCAGAAGAGCTAGCTGGACTAGCAGCTGAATCTTATTTTTAGCACTGGTGAAGGAGCACCATACCTGAGGGAGCAGATTGGTTCAGAAGTCCCCAGGACAAAGTGGGATGGCTGGAGTGCTCAGGAGAAACAGCCAGAAATATTTGTGCTGTGCCCAACATATGCAGCCTGAGCTGATGACCTCACTTGGCAGAGTCAGTTCTAGCTTTATTGATAAAAAAGAAAAAAATATGGGAAGAAAAATAAAAGCCTGGTCTTATGAAATACTGCACCATGAAAACTACAGGAGTTAAGGCCTTCTGGAGTCAGTACCTAGGAAGGCAGCAGTGAGAAGGAAGAAATATAAAGAAACCAATTTTGTTTCAATAGGCTTATGACCTGTGAACTGTTGCCAAGTATGAGCTCAGCAGTAGCAGAATTACCTTGCTCTTGCCTAAAAGCCAGAGTCCAAAAACCAAGAGATTCCTTCTCCCAGGGAAAGACAGAAATTCCCCCTGCCTTGCAACACCTTCATTTTTTAAATAGAAACACCAGTGACTATGCATTAGCCTGTGGCTACTTACTCCATGTTAGATTTAGTTGAGTTGTATCTGTTTTAGGGTACCAGGACTCCTCTCTTCAGTCTATTTATTTGTTTGGTATATATTTTACTTTGTCACTGCTACATCAACGAAGCCATCAATATATTCAAAATGCAGTAAGAAGCTGCAGCCATGGAAACTAGTCATTGGCATATAAGGAGGATATAAAACATTGGAAGAAAAGTGGGCTTTAATTTGAAGCTCTGCCAGGGGAAAAATGTTTTTCTTGTCAGTTATTTAAACATTTCAATCACATTCTGTATCTGAAGATAGAAGGACTGAAAACAACAGAGAACACAGTTTTAAAACAAATATAAACTGTTTTTAAAAATGTAATATAACATAATCAAGATAAAATATACAGGGCAATAGACCAAAAATCAAGCTGTGACCGCTGACCCAGAAGTGCTTGATGAATGGCCAGGTTTTAAAATGACATCGAAATGAGGCCATAACTTGGCATCAACCAGACCCCTGACGGCTGGGCACAACAACAACCCTTCTTCAGGTTTGAATTTTGTAGAGCAGAAACCAGTTTAATTTTGCTTCTGAAAAGCCCTTATTGCCTCAGGGAAGTACTTCGCCACTATTAAAGATACTGTAAGAAAGTCTCCCAACTTTTCTGTAGAGTGAACCCATTGAAAGACATCCTAAAATCAGTCCTACTTCCTTTAAGAAGCAGGTAGAGTGAAGTAGTCAGACAGACTGTAAGCACAGCTGAGCAAAGGCCAGCCCAGTCTGAGCAAAAATAATACTGAACAGATGCTATTTAATGAGTGGCATTCATTGCTAATGTCTAAGTAATGCTTATTCTTTCTGTGGTAAATATTTATACAGTCATATCTGTATCCTTTTTTTCCAGACACACCTTCCTCCCCTCAGGTTCAATGAAGATCATGGAGACACGGGTTTCAGACAGTGGCATGTATCTCTGCGTAGCCACAAATATTGCTGGCAATGCAACTCAGGCAGTGAAACTAAATGTACAAGGTAAGCTGTCTGAACTGAACTAAGAATCCTTTTCAAATTGGTACAGAACAGACAATTGCATAAATGCAAACTCAAATTGACTGGAAAGTCAGACTTCTGTGCAGTGGACACCTAATGGCTGCAATGACAGTATTTTATTTTCTAAAAGTTCTTTTAAAGTGGGGGGAGGCAGTAATAAAGCAGATGATTTAATTACAGAGATACTTCTATCCTGCTGTATGGCCCTGAAAAGAACTCCTCAAAACAGGTTTTGATAGCCATGTTGTAGAACTGCTAATTTAAAAGCAACATACAATTCCTTGCTCCCCAACCCAATATGGCACCTTTTTCCTCTTGCCTTCCAAAACACATTCAACAGCACCAGAACTGGGGATTAAAAAAGAACAAGAAGTTTGTTGGATTTGTGGTACCCTCTAAATCTAATCAGATTTGCAGTTCCTGAGATGGACAATGAGAAAAAACTTCAAAAATTTGTACATTTTCTCCTGATTTCCAATGACATAGAGTTGGTTGAGAATAAAAAGAAAGCTAAAGAAGGCTTTACTTATTTATAATATATAATGAATTATCTATAAATAGATCATTTAACTTTCTTTTTATTGGAAACTCATTTCATTGGAAATCCCCTGAAGAAGGCACTGAAGAGAATAAAGGGCAGAAATGTGTTGGGCTTTGTAAAAAAATAAAAAATAAAAGAGACTACAAGATGGTTACTTACAAAAGACAGTAAAGTATGATCCTCCATTTTGGAAAATACAAAATCTAGTTGTAAATTGAGTTCCCCATGCTGTGTAAAGCAGATTGGCTCCTTTATTGATATCAAAAAGATCAAAAATATGTATTTACAAAGTTGGAGATAGGTTGAGCTGCTGTCCTAAGTAAAGAAGTTGAGGGAAAAGGAAAAAAAAGAATAAATGAATGAATGAAGTCAAATTGGATATCCCTCCTTAGAAATGGAGGGAATGAAACCACAGAAAATAAAGCCTTAGCTCCTGTTGGCATGGTAGTTCAATAGCTTAGGTATCTGCTTGCAGAGCCAGAGGTTGGAAGTTCAATTTCCCACTTGGCCTTCTTGACAGGGACTTAACTTGATGATCCATAGCTTCCCTTCCAGTTCTGCATTTTAAGATGATGATGATGATGAAAATCATCTTCTTCGGTTGTAGAGCTACACTGCTAAATGGCAAAATTTCATGTTCCCTGAGGCATACAAATATTAGTATTGCCTCTGTTGTTCTTTTTTGCTGAAGAATTCCCCTGTTTGCCTGGAAGAACACAGTTCAAAATCTCCTGATTTGAGCCATGCTTATAGCAATTGCAAGAGTACTGTAGTAATCTGTGGGACCAGCAGTATCTATTCCATCTGTCTGTTTTCTTCCTTTCAGAACATATGCTGGCTGCTGAATCTGGGACCTTCTACACGTATGCCGTTTAGTACCTCTCTTTGGCTCATTCCTCTAACAGCACTACTAGTTAATAAAACAACAGGATTTAAAATAGAAGAAGCTGGGCTGTCAAAGTGGATATATTGTGAACCTTCATCACAAAATATTCTGATTGCCTCACCCTTCAGATAACAAGTAACTGTACCATGCTTGACTGAGTAAGAATGGAAAAGAAAACACAAACATTTCCAGTCTAGACTGGTGATATTTAATCAGTAAAGACACTCTGAACGTTTTCACAGTTGGAATTTTTCAAGTCCAATTGTAATTTTTAAAGTTACTACTGTGCACCCCTGTGCATGTGTACTTGGACATTCCAGTGTGTTGAGGGTTGCATGCTTTTACATGCCATCAAGTCAACTCCAACTTAAAATGACCCTCTGAATTTGTGATCTGCAACAGGTCCTGTCATTTACATACCTGCTCAGCTCTCATTCACTTGAGGCAGTGGCTTCTTTTATGGGGTCAGTCGCATCTATTTGATATTCCTCTTATCAATGCTGCTTTGTTGCTTTATAAACTGGTAGCACTGCTAGAGGAGTGAGGAATGGGCCAAAGAGAGGTGCTAAATGGCATATATGTAGAAGGCCACAGATTCAGTCTGAGGTGTTCACAGGTAGGGCTAGGAAAGAATCCTCGCTGAAACCTCAAAGAGCTGATGCCAGTCAGTGGTGACAATATTGGGCTTGCTGGACCAGTGCAATGTACTATTTTCACATGGTCCTAGTGGTGTAATGTATCCAAGGAATAACCATACACACTCTCAGAAAGTAATGTGTTCTTGTTTGTAAATGGAGCCATTTAGCTAAAAGGTACAAACACATCATGCTGTTAGTGCAGTTTCAGGAACAAATGTCAGATTTTCCACTGAAGTTGTTCAAGGCAATTTTACTGATAATTCAGCAGCCAATCCCTACCCTAAACTTGTAGCTTTATGGGCTTCAGTCATTCCAATAGTATATAGATGCTATTATTAAGAAAGTCATCCTAGTTGATTTTTAAAAATGCATTGAGAATGTGACAGCCTTTATATTACCAAGGCCTCATGCTATGCTACGTGTTTCTTCAGTTATCTGCAAAATTCTTCTGATGTTTCTGCTAATTCATTTGCTTTGCTAGTTCCTCCAAAGATACAACGTGGGCCTCGAGTGATGAAAGCAAAAGTTGGTTACCGGATTGATCTACCTTGCAATGCTCAGGGGATCCCATCTCCAACAATTACTTGGTTTAAAAACCAAAGACCCATTTTAATAGACAACGGACAGTATGCTGTTGCTTCAGATGGGACACTAAGCATTAGCCAAGTCCTGCTTTCAGATTCTGGAATCTACAGATGTGTGGCGAGTAACATTGCTGGCCATGATGAAACTGAGATAACAATCCATGTTCAAGGTAATTGCAGTCTTGTGCTGGAAAGTATTAGAAAAGCACTCAGTCATCTCTTGCTTAAGGGGATCTTATTGTCTTTTACACTGAGATGCAGTTCTATTAATTGTGACTTTTTTAAATTTAAAATTTCATAAGCATACATACAGTAGAGGGAGCAGGAAATCTAAAAAAAGCAAAGCAAATGCTAACCAAAGCAGAGTAAAACTATGTGAATATCTAATGGGGGAGCCTGGGCCAATGAGTTTGTAAAGCATCAGTGAGCAAAGTGAGGCACTTTGGATGGTGTTGGATGATACTTTCCAGCATTCCTCACCATCACTGTGCTGGCTAGGGCTGAGTGGAATTGCAGTCCAGCCATACGGGGAGGCAGTGCTTTGCTCCACCCCACTGATACAGGGCAAATCAATATGTAGATGATATTATAAAATAAATGTGTAGAGGATGTAATTACACCATGAAGAAGCAAGTAGAATGAATGTGTGTTAAATTTCAGTGTAATTCAACTTTTTAACATGAAATCAGTTCAAATCTCCCTGTTTGATAAGATCCTTCCTGCTGTCCTCTCATTAATGCACTGTCAATATATACAGCAATATATGCTGTGGACCTCCAGTTTCCTATGGTAATTCTTTAAAGTCCTAGAATAGTCCTTGTAATCCACTGGAGTAGGGAATCTGTCAATGATAGCTCTAAAACTTCTCACATTTTCAGTATATGTGGTATGTTGCCAACTTATCCTGGAACAAAATTGAATCATGCATATATAAATTTAAAAACTGAGTAAGATGTACCCTTGCTAGCATAATTGCCTCTCTTTCTCTCCAGCTCTAGAGAAAAAAAGAGACAATTTCAGTTTTTGAAATGCTGACCCTTCCTGAACATTGCACCCCTGACATCACCATTTGTATTTGGTTTTATGCCCACTCTACTTTTAAATCTCTGGGG